CGGTGTCCTCTTGCTCTCTGCACCGGGAGGTAGTTTAACGTCCAGCTGGAGCCGGTGTGTATGTGTGTGTGTGTGCTCGCACATCCATATGCACGGGTGTGTGTTTGTGCTCGCAGCGGGATGCTGGGGTTGCATTCCAAGAGAGCAACCCGACCGAGAGAGCAGGGCCCCAGACTGCAGGGGCGCTGGCGGCGATGTCACTGTGTGCTTGTGCGGGGAGGCGGGCGGGCGGGAGGCTCGGCAGAGTGTCAGTGAGTCTCAGCCTGTGCGGGGGTGGTTGCGTGGGGGTGGAGGGCTGCCGCATGCACCAGAACATGTGCGTGCCTGCCGCTCAGATGGCTTGCAGGGGAGGGAGGAAAGGCTGTCCCTTCCCATGTCCTTGCCACCCCCTCCTTAAGGACCTGCTCCCCAACTCTTCATTCCTGGCTTCTGGCCCCTGCGCATCACCTGGTCCCCGCCCCTGGCTTGGCCACTGCCTCTCACTTTGGCCTTGGGCAAACCATTTCTCTCTGGTCATTGACTTCACCAGCTATGCTATGTATAGAGACAGTATCCAGGGTCCTCCCTGCTCTGAGGTCCTGGGAATCTGAAACTTCACGTGTGTGCCTCCCCCAGAAGCAGCCTAAAGAAGGCAGCAACTCCAACGGGGCATTTTGGCACCTGCAGAGCTATTTCGACCCCATTTTACAGACGGTAAAGTGGAGGTACACGAAGGACAAAGGATCCGCCCAGGGTAGCCCAGTAAATGAGAGGCAGAATCATGATTGGAAAACAAGCTCAGAGTCCTCTCCCCCACCAGGCCACCACCCCCTTCCTAGTAGGGTTCCCCAGACACAGCACCAGAAGGGGACCCTATCATCAACATTCCCCCACATGCAGGTGCTGGAGACCTACACGCAAGTCTGAGCGCTGCCACCAGTCCTGAGCCAGTCATTCCACCTGCTCAGCCTCAGTCTGTTCATCTGTGAGATGGGTGAGTAAGCCTTTGGCCTCCCGCACCGAGTTTACGAGCCCCAAAGTGCTGCGAATGTGATAGGTTATTAGAAGAAAAGTAAAAGCACAACACTCGTCTTTGGGTGGTGCATCCATGCCCAGGTGTCCTCTCTCTCCAGTGTTACATCATGGACCCTCCTAGCAGCTCTGCCAGGGAAGGGCCAGACAGCGGAACACATTTTGCAGACATTAGCATTTGCATCCCCCAGGGGAAACTTAAGCACCCAGGACCCTGGACAGCTAAGTGCAGGGAGCTGCCCCTGTGTGGGCCCCCTGATCAGTGCAGCCCAAGTCCCGTTCACGATGTAAAGCCTTGGGCGTCAGAGGGGCAGCAGCTCCAGAGCCAGCTCTCTGCAGCTCCCCTGCCCCGCCAACCTTGCTGGCCCCTGGAACTCCTCCCCCAGCCTCGACACACCCTTGAGTCACTTCAGATCTGTTTCTAGAGAGAAAAGAGTGGGCTGCACCCCCTCTCCAGTCTCCCTCCCTCCCTCCCTCCCTCTCCTTCTCTCAAGCAATAGCTCCTTCAGAAGCTCTTTCTGCTCTGCCTGCTGATTACACAGGCTGCAGGGCAATCCTCGGCCTCCCTAACCTTTCCTGGGAGTGGGTCCAAAGCCCAGAGAATGTCAGAGGCTGGAGGAAGCATCCTCCTTCTCCACCTCCTGGAAACTAACCCCTTCTCTTCATTCCGGTCTTCAGAGCAGAGAACACAGAACACCCTCCTGTCTGGTCCGCCAGGAGCTATGGCCCGAGTGCCCGGCCCACCCTGACCCTGAGCGGGCATCACTGCAGCTTGCCTCCCAAATAGCTTCTGTGCTCCTGAGGTCTGGGCTTTATTTCTTTCATCCCCTGGGAGGAAGTAGGATTGGGGCCAAGGGAAGGGAGAGTGTGCTAGGCTCTGGGTCCCAAGAGACAGCCCCACCTCACCCCTCTAGGGGACCTGAAATCAATTCCTGGTTTTCTGAGTCTTATGCAGCGGGACCTTCCTCCAGTAGTATCAAGTGGCCCCGCCTGTGGCACTGACTCCAGCCCCATCCCCGCCAGCTGGCTGCCCACCAGCAGAGAGAGGGGTGGCTTCTCTTACCTCCCCAGCCAGCCCTACCCCTGGGCTCCTTGAAGGAAGGCTTGCAGTCACAAGCCAGGCCTCATCGGGGAGGACACCAGGAAGCCCTCGAGAAGCACGTGCCTCCTCTCCAGCTGGGCAGCCCAGGTCCTTGTGGAAGGAGGTGCAAACGCTCCATGTCCCCTTGGAGGGCCCACCCAGCGGCCTCTGCCAGCCTCCCTGCCAGTGATCTGAAGTGGGCTCCTGGAATGGGGGCCCAGCATCTGGGTGGCGGCTGCCGCATCCTGGCTGGGATGAACCCCGCAGGCACCTCCGGTGCTCCAGTTCCAAGGAGCCAGGCTGTCACTATGTCTTCATACGTACTATCTCCTCTCATCCTCACAGCACTTTCTCATCTCCAATTACAGGTTGGGGGAGAGAAGTGCCATAGCCTGCCGGTGTCGCTGAGCTCTGGGTGGTGCTGGTACGGAGCCTGTGCCCTGTGCCGGGCACTGCCCCTCCCTGCCCCACTGGGCTCTTAGACCGAAGCCGCCATGCAGAGCAGACGAAGAGCCCCTCCCATTGGTACCCTGGCCTTTTTAACCGAGGCATCCAAAGTGTGGGTCCTCATCCCCTTTTTCCCAGTGAAAGCGTCCTTAACCTGAGGCCCATCCGCAGCCTTCCTGTGTCCTGCCAGCTCCTGATGTTGCATGCAACGTATTTTAGGTTTGCGCGTTTTCCTGAGGGATGTAGACTTAAGCCCTTCATCAGGCTCCGGGAGGAATGTGTGACCTAAAACACGTTAAGAGCACTGATGATTCTGGAAGGAAGACATCTGAAATTGATTAGACAAGACCAGGCCATGCCTGCCACCCTCAGTTTTCGTGCCGTTGACACCCCAGGGCTCCCCAGCTCCTGAAGCGCTGCCATGGCCCGGTCCCCCCAGGCGCCCTGGCAGGTAGCGGGGCTGAGAGGCTCTCTGCCACGGCGCCCCCACAGCACCCAGTTTTCATGATCTCCATCTCCCCTCGGGGCAAAACATCACTTTCATTGTCATTTTGAGCACCTGAGTCACATTTTAGCTCCATTTCACTGCACTCTCTGTGACGCAGTCCTCTCAGGCCGAGCCTTGGTCGCACCCTGGAAGGTAGTTCCCAGCTAATCAGGGCACCCTGGGGCTCCAGTGGGCACTGGGACCCAGCTGAGAAGGGGTCCCTGCACAAGTTTGGCAGACAGCCCTGGTCCTCCAGAGCAGCCCTAAACATTTTGTGCCTGTCGCTCACCCCCCCGCACAGAAGCACACTCCGAAAGACGGGAAGACCGCAGACAAGGCTGAGCACTCATCTGCATATGGGTGCGTGTCTGCACGAAGAGGCGGGTGTGTGCCTGTAGGGGTCAGAATTTCCCGGTGTGCCAGTGTGTGTGTGTGCAGCCAGCCTGCTTGTACACAGCCACAGGCCCGCCCCCGCACATAGGCAGACACCAGCTGAGCTCACAACCCCCACACTCCCACCCGAGCCTGTGGGTCCAGGCTTTACATGCACACACATAAACCTTCCTATGTTCATGCCCCCATGTACCCACATGGATGTGCACATCCAGACCTCATAGGGACCAACGTGCCCAAGTCCCAGATATGCATCCTTAACAGACATATGTTTGCACCTGCCCAGACCTCGCACACAATTGCCTGCTGCTGTGCACGCATCTCTAACTTGCCATACATGTGACTCACATTCACACCTTCACTCCCATGCAAACCAGCCAACGGCACCCCTTGTGCCATTTGCACGCACCCATACTTGCAGGGAACACTTGCATTTTCGGGCTTTACACAAGAAGCACACACTAGCACCTCCTCCTGGTGTATGCACCTCAACACTTGCATACCCTTTCAGTGCTCACCAGTGTACCCCAGAGTCATTCCTTATACAACACACATCAGAATGCACACTTATGTGTGTACTTCCAGGGCTCATACCAGCACATACCTGTTTAGAGGGCCCCTCTCCCCTGGACCCCTGCTGCTACAGCAGCAACCACCCAGGGCATTGGAACTGCTTTGCCCACAGGACAAACCTGCCTCCCAGCTGTACCCTTACCCTGGATCCATCCCTGCATCTTCCACAAACTCTGCAGGGGGCATCCAGAAATGCTCCCCGGACCCTCCACAGCCTACTGGGCTACTGCAAGGGGCTCTCCTCTCCCCCATCTTCCCACCCTTCTCTCCACAGCAGTCATCATAGGCAGAAAATGAGCTCTGGGGCAGGACAACTTTGCCAAGGGACCCGAGCTGGTGCACCACCACCCCGCTAGCCCTGCAACAACATTGCCCCCTCCCAACAAGCCTGGTTTTTGCTGATTGCCCTTCCCCTCCTCCCAACACCCAGAAAGCCTCGCCAGTGGCTCAGTTATTAACCCCTGCCGCACCAATGCCCTCCTCGCTCCTCAGAGGAGCTGGAAGGGGGCAAGTGGGGAAAGATGTGCTTACAGGGAGAAGTTGGCCACTCTGCACAGTCGCTCAAGGTGTCTAAAGTCAGAAAGGACTACGGGGGAGGTGGTGAACTGTCACCAGAGGAATCCAAATTGCTGGCCGCCTCAAGAGAAACTCGCAGGGAATTCCAGCCCTGGACTCGGCTGATGGGAAAATCCCTTTTTTAAACCCTGAGTTTCTAAGAATCTGTGTGTTCGAAGGTCATGTGCATATGTGTGCATGTGTGTGCGCTCACTGGCACGCACCATCAACCCTTCACCCCACACACACACTCGCCCGGCTGGCCCTGGCACATCTGTGTACCTGCAAACATGCCCACGGCAGTTCTGGGCACCCTGCACATGTCAGAGCCCCCAGACACAGCGAGCCTTCTTTCCTGTGTGAGAACAGGAAACCCCACAGGTGCACACCCCCGCCCGTGACGCCTACCCTGCCCCCCCTTCACCCTCCAGGACTCTCTGAGGTGTAACTCACTTTCCCAGTTCCTCGAAGAGCTGGTACTCTTCTGTGAAGCGGGTGCAGGTGATGGTGGCCATCCTGGTGTGGTGCGGGCAGGCGAGGCTCTGGGCTGGAAGACCAGGGCTGGGGGCACTGCTATTCTTCTCCCGGAACCGGGGGCCACTCGCCTGCCCGTGCTGCCAAGTGAGAGCCTAGAACCAGCTTGACTGATGAGCCCCGGGCTTCTGAGCAGGGCACTGTGGCTGCTCACAGCCTCGCGAGCCTTCGTCAGCATCCAGGTCGCCATGGCAACCACCTCAGAAACGCCCTGTTCCCGTTGCCTCGGTAACTGCCTCCCCAACACCTGCCTGCCTTCCACTGCGAAACCTGCTCCAGGACACCCTGGCCCAACTGCACATAATACCATAGGCATGTGTGAGCCCCGGGGGCAGGTGGACCAAGCAGCCCCCACCCCCAGGTGATGGACCAGGGAAGGGGCTGCAGGAGGGGGAGAGAACAAACTTAGTCCACAAGTGATCTGCTTCCCTCCCACCTCCCCCACTTCCAACTATGGGCCCCTCAGATGGGCTTAAGTGGGGCAAAAAGGCAGTTGCTATGGTAATGGTGGGTTCCACATTCCAGGATGGTCCCTAGGAAAGACAGGATGCAGTTACCCTGGCAACTTCAGGTCCTCTGGAGAGACAGGTATTGCCCCGTTGCCCTGGCAACAACCGGGTTCTTAGGTTTATAGGGAAATGATGGCTAATTCATTGGGATCCCTCTCTCCCTATCTGTCTCACTGCAGACTCTGTAGTCTCTGTAACTGTCGCTCTGCTCCCCTCCATTTTTTTTGTTTTGCTTCTGCCTCTTTCTTCTTTTGCTGTGGTTCTCTCTGTTCTCTGCCACTTTGTCCTTCACAGTGGCACCCTAGCTCGGGGAAGAAGTGCAGAGGAGACACCAGGGTCCTGGAGGGACTCGCCCTGGTGGCCCCCCCCATCCCCACCTCTCGCAGCTGCAGCAGTCGGTCCCCTCTGGAGGCCTCTCCCGTAACCTTTCTTCCACCCCGTTTCCCCAGAGGGACCACGGAGATCTGGTCTCCTGGGGCTTGCGTCCCAGTTTCTGCTTGTGCTTCAAGGCAAAATGAAAGAGGTGGAGGAAGCGGGGGGAGGGGAGCCTGGCCTGGCATGGGGGGAAGTGGCCGTGGCCTGCCCCGAAACCCTCATTCCCCGGCCTTATGGGCACTTTCCCTGCCAACTTCAGCTCTTTGGGGCAATCGCCATATCTGTGGCCCCACAATCTCACCCCAGGGTCTGAGTTCAATTCCAGTTCTGGCAACTATTGGCTGTGCAACCCTGGGAAAGTCACTGCCCCTCTCTGAGCCTTCAGCTCCTTTGCTACAAAACAGAACAAAGCTGCCACTGCAGAGGAAGGCTGTGAGGATGGAGTGGGCTGATGGTTGCGGAGGCCTCTTTTTAGTTTCCAGAAGAGAATAAGGAAAGTCTGAAGCCAGACCATGACCACCGGCATCACTCCAGCTTGAACTTGGAACCCCAGACCCTTCACACTCTGCCCTCTTCACTCAAGCACATTTCACAGCTCACCAGACTGAGGTCTCATGCCAACATTTGCCCACAATGAACAGAGTTCGGATATCTGGATCCAAACTCTCTGGGTTTCTAGCCCACCCCCTTGGAGCCCCCAAATTGCCTTACTGGTCACCTCATTTGCTGGACATGGTGTCTGCTCATTGGAAATCCCCAAGCCCAGCAGGTCCTTGACTCACATCCCTAGGTCCAGGGGCCCCTGGAGACATCAGGCACCCCCTCCCCCAAATTCTACCCCTTTTCCTGGAAGTTGAGGGTGGAAATGATAGGGCTGGCTCTCCAATGCAGCTACTTCTTCCCAGGAGAGGAACAGGAGGGAGACAGAGGGGAAGGAGGGGAAGCGAGCAAGGGAGGAAAGGTAATGGCTTAGCCACTAATTGCACCATTACCACCTTCGGAAAAAGGAAAAACCACTCAGTTTTGTTTCTGTGCACAATATGCTTCCCGCTTCTGCCGCCAACGTTGCAATTCAGAGGCAAAGAAGAGAAGCCTGAGCTCCGGGCTCACAGCCGGTGGGCAGCAGGCAGGGCACGGAACACGGCTAGAGGCTAGATATGCAAGTGGGGAAGCAAGCGGCGGGGGGGGGGGGGCGGGACGGGCTGCACTGTCACCTCCCACCCCCGCCCTTCCAGCTGGCTCCCAGGCGGGGATGGCTTCCGCACGTGAACGTGAGTGCTCGACAGCCCTTAGGGACCACAGAGGGCCTCCCAACTATTGCCCAGGAGAGAGGAGCGTGTGCAGTATTTAGAGCAGCTCCATGACCCGCAGGCTGTGGGATCTGGGATGAGTGTCCTAACTCCTCTGTGCCTCCGTTTCTTCTTCTGCAAAACAGAGGTAAAAATGTTCCCTGCCTCCAGGGCCGTCGTATGGGCTAAATGGATGAGCACAGTGGCTGACACTGTACACGCTCAGTAAACAGGCATAATTATTATTGAGGGACTCAAGAGACACTCCTCTCCACAGTGCTCTCTCTACACCAGGGAAGCTCGTGCCGCCATCTTCAAGTCCCAGCACTTTGGGGGAGTTGTTCTCTGAGCCCCCACTGGAGCTGAGCTGGTGGTTTGAACACCACCTTTCCCAGGCCTGGTTTGCAGCAATTCCTGTAGCGCAAAGGACTGGGGCTGGAGGGAGGGGCCACAAGGCCTGAGGCTGTATGAATGAGACTCTAAAGTTCTGAACATAGGAGGTGATGGCTGGCCTTGCACTGGCCTGACCAGCCTGTTTCCTAGTCCTCGCCATCCCCCCTGATGTGGAGCATATTCAGAAGAGAGCAGAACACACATGTGGTGGGGGAGGTCCCGGCATCACGTCAGGGGGAGCCAGCAGTGACTTGGAAGAGGACATGAAGGGACAGAGGCACAGATGACCAGCTTGCACCCTGACTCTGACAGGGACCATGGAGGGGGCCTATGTGGCTTCAGGGGGCAGGGCCACTCCAGCCTATGACCACTGTCGCCACAGCTCTTCTTCCCCACTGCCACTGCTCTCTTCAGCTCTCCTTCTTTCTTTCCTGCCTTTCCCCCATTTTTTTCCTTCCTTCCCTCAAGCTCTTCTTTCTCGGTGCTCCCCACCCTTCATCCCATGCCTTTCCACCTCCTCTCCTGTTTCCCTCTGCCTTCCTCTCTGTCTGTCTCCATCGCTCTTCCCTCCCTCCCAGTGCTGGCCGGGCCCTGCGCACAGGGTCCTGGGTGTCAGGCAGGACTCAGGCTGCGGCATCCTGAGGGTGGAGCAATGGCTTAGAGAGAAAGCAGGGGGAGGAAGAGGAGGCAAAAGAGGAAAAGATCTCCTTGGCAACTCTCTCTTACACACACACACATACACACACACACTGAAACCTTCAAGAGCCTTGCGCAGGGGTGTGGGCACTGCCTTGGACTGACACCCCCACCCGGAGTGTGACTGCCACCCTGCTGAGGAGGTACCACTAATTCACTGCCTCCCCTGTGCCCGCAAGCCTGGCAGCTGTGCCCAGTGGTGGCGAGCAGCAAGGAGCCAGCCTGCCTCTGTGGAGCAGAGAGAATGAGCCGATGATTGCAGTGGGGGCAACTGTTCCTGCCAGACTCCCCACTCCCCAGGGTCAGGGCAGGCCTGTGAGCCAGCACACACGTGCCCCCATCTGCAACCTGTGTGTGGGACTCAAGAGCAGGACCGCATGCCCGGGGCTGGTGGCCGGGGGTGGGGGCCCCCCAGTCGCTGTGCACAGCTCTGACACACCAGGATAGGGAACGTGAACCGGGGTACAGGCCGCACCCCTTGTATGTGGGGAGGGGCAAATGGGGATGAGGGCCAAGTTCCTGGGCCATGGTCGGGGTTGGGGTGGAGGGACACTGGAGTCCCAGTGGCATCATGGCAGCCAACCTTCCACAGCCCACACACGTGCTCACATGCACACGCCCAAGTGGCTCAGGGTCCCGCTGGGCCTGGGCAGGCACCACAGAAAACGTGCCATCCAAACGGCCCCCAAGGGGCCTGTCCCACTAAGGGCAGCGAGCGTAAGGGGGCAGAATCAGTGGAAACTGGGCCAAGAGAAAAGTGATCCTGCAGAGGGTCTAGGCAGAGGGTGATTTGGTTAATTCGTTGCAGTAAGTAATGCCGGGCTCATACTCAAAAGGGAGAGAAGTCAAGAGCAGGGAGCAGCACTGGCCCCTGAGGTGTCCCACATAGGAGAGGGAAGCAGGGAGCCAAGGGACAGGGGATGACAGCTGCTGGGCCAGTGTCTGCACAGCAGGACCTGCAGTTAGAGGACCCAAGTTCAAGGCCTCCCATTGGCTCTGAATGCTCATGGCACATCTTTTCCCATGAGCCTTCACTTCTTCCTGAGAAATATGGGGACAAGATGTTCCTTCACAGACTCCAAGGACACTTCAGGGCCAGGCCCTGTGCTAAGCACTTGACCTATTGCACTATTAATACCTCACAAGCAATGGCCATGAGACAGGTACAGTCATTGCCCGTTCTACAGAAATACGACATGACTTAACCATTTGGGGTCTGTGTGACTTCAGCAACCTGCCCTGTGTTCTCTGGCCTCCACCAGGGCTGGAAGGCCCCTCGGGGAGCCCGTGTTCCCTACAGATGGGGGACCAAGGCCCAGAGAGGGAAGCTTCCCTCTCGCAGTCACACAAGTCAGGAGCAGAGTCAGGGCCACACCCCAAATCCCTGACTCCCAGCACAGGTCCCCTTCCCTCACCTCACCCCACCTGCCCCCTTCCTGACATTGCAGAGCTGCTTGCCTAGGTCCTGACATAGCCAGGAGGCACTGAGAAAGAGAGGAGGAAATGGTGCCAAGGCCCAGGGTGGGTCCCACAGCCCCCCCAGCCAGGTCTGGGGCTCTCTTCCAGCTCCTAGGAGACAGTCAATGCTGCCCAGATTCCACAGGCAAGGCCCAGCTCAGATAGGCCTGCCCCTGGCGTCAACCCATCAGCCTGGCAGACCTGCTGCCACCTGGCCCAGCCAAGGGGGAAACGGGGCTTGTCTGGACCTCTGGGCTCCACTCCCCCAGATCAGTGCCCCAAGGGGCCAGAGTTACCTCTGGTCTGCCTCCCTCCCACCCCTCCCCACCACAGGTGATGCAAGCATCTGCCTGGTGACACTAGTCAGAGGCCTGACACAGAGTCCAGACCCAGGTGTCCCTGCTGAGGGGATGCAGGGGCCACAAGAGGCAA